GGCACCCAAATCCTCCCATAGGCAGGATATCCCCTTTGGTGAAGAATGACTGAATTTGCCACGGGGCACATCCTCTCAGTGTTTCTCAACCTGGGGGTCGCGAAGGGGTGTCAGGGGGGTCGCCAAAGACCATCAGAAAACACAGTATTTTCTGATGGTCATGGGGATGCCATGTGGGAAGTTTGAGCCAATTCTATCGTTGGTGGAGTTCAGAATGTTCTTTGATTGTAATGAACTATAAATCCCAGCAACTACAACTCCCAAAAGTCAAGGTCTATTTTCCCCAGGCTCCACCAGTGTTCACATTTGCACATATTGAGTGTTTGTGCCAAGTTTGGTCCAGATCCACCATTGTGTGAGTCCACAGTGCTCTCTGGATATAGGTGAACTACAACTCCCAAACCCACCAAACCCTTCCAGTGTTTTCTGTTGGTCATGGGAGTTCTGTGTGGCAAATAAGGTTCACATCCATCGCTGGTGCAGTTCAGAATGCTCTTTGATTATAGGTGAACTATAAATCCCAGCAACTACAACTCCCAAATTACAAAATCAATCCTCCCCCAACCCTACTAGCATTCACATTTGGGTGTTTTTGGGTATTTGTGCCCAGTTTGGTCCAGTGAATGAAAATGCATCCTGCATATCAGATATTTACATTATGATGTATAACAGTAGGAAAATGACTGCTATGAAGTAGCAACAAAAGCAATGTTATGGTTGGGGGTCACCACAACATGAGGGGCTGGATTAAGGGGTCGCGGCATTAGGAAGGTGGAGAACCACTGGATGGGAAATCTCCGACGTCTGAAAGATCGTACCCTTTGTCCTGTTGTCCACGCAAGAGGTTTCTGTTGAGTCCTTTCAGTCAGGGCATTATCTATCCCAGGAAATGAGATTTTCCTGAGATCTTTGGTGTGCTGGGGTCACGAAGAGGTGGCATTTCATATTTTATACAGACAGACATCTATGCTTTGTTCTGTTAGAAATGTAATATAATTGACTGGTTGCCCTGACACGTCAAATAAATATGGGGTTCATAAGGTATTGTTGTTGTTGTTGTTCATTTGTTCAGTCGTCTCCGACTCTTCGTGACCTGATGGACCAGCCCACGCCAGAGCTCCCTGTCGGCCGTTACCACCCCCAGCTCCCTCAAGGTCAGTCCAGTCACTTCAAGGATGCCATCCATCCACCTTGCCCTTGGTCGGCCCCTCTTCCTTTTGCCTTCCACTTTCCCCAGCATCATTGTCTTCTCTAGGCTTTGCTGTCTCCTCATGATGTGGCCAAAGGACTTCCGCTTTCCCTCTCGTCTCCTTCCCTCCAATGAGCAGCCGGGCTTTCTTTCCTGGAGGATGGACTGGTTGGATCTTCTCGCAGTCCAAGGCACTCTCAGGACTTTCCTCCAACACCACAGCTCAAAAGCATCAATCTTCCTTCACTCGGCCTTCCCGAAGGGCCAGCTCTCACATCCGTAGGTGACTACAGGGAAGACCATGGCTTTGACTAGGCAATGGATCTTTGTTGCCAGTCTGATGTCTCTACTCTTCACTATTTTATCGAGACTGGACATTGCTCTCCTCCCAAGAAGGAAGCGCCTTCTGATTTCCTGGCCACAGTCTGCATCTGCAGCAATCTTTGCACCTAGAAATACAAACCCTGTCACTGCCTCCACGGTTTCTCCTTCTATTTCCCAGTTGTCAATCATTCTTGTTGCCATAATCTTGGTTT